AGCTACCACGTGAGTGCTGAGAACCAAGCCTGGGTCCTCTGCAAGAGCAGCAAATGAAGTGCTCGTGATGACTTAGTCATCTTTCCAGCTCCTATTTTGTTTTCTTCATAATCAATAGTCAATTTTTTTCAAGGATAACTTTTAATCATGACCTACTTTTGTTTCCAGTCAATGTCCATAGCTTCAGTTAACTATGAACATTCCACCAAGTGCTACATAGAGTGGTGACACTTCATATTGTCAGTCAGGCATAGCTGTGAACACCTTTAATCCTAGCACTCATGAGGACGAGGCAAGCAGATCTCTGCAAGGTTGAGGCCATCCTTTCTGGTCTACATATAAAATTCCAGGCCAGCCAGGGCTACATAATAAAACCCTGTCTAAAAAAGAAACAAAACATTGCTATTCACTACTGTAAGGCAATCTTTGGGAACAAATTCCTATATCAACACAGCTTCAACGTGCCATTTCCTTTATTTTCAGCCCAAAGTTTATGAGGCAACATGCCCAGATGCATTCTTGTTCACAATTTTAGCCTTTCAAGCATGTGTTACACAACCTTGAGCTGAGCAAATGTGCCTGTCATCTTTCTTTCCTGAATTATAACCTTAAACAGTGTTACAAGGAGAGAGTCCCTTGTTTGTCCTGGTCACCCGACTAGCTCACACCCAAAATAACCACACAGAAACTGTATTCATTAAAACACGGTGTGGCCCATTAGCTCTAGTTTCTTATTGGCTAATTCTTACATCTTAATTTAACCCATTTCTACTAATCTGTGTATTGCCACATGACTGTGGCTTACTGGCAAGATTCTAACCGGCGTCTGTCTCAGGTAGAAGATCCATGGTGTCTCTCTGACTGCCCTTCTTCCTTTCAGCATGTACTTCTGTCTTCTCTGCCTACCTAAGTTCTGCCCTATCAGACCCAAAGCATTCATTAGCCAATGAAAGCAACACATGAACAGAAGAACCTCCTACACCATTTCCCCTTTTCTGTTTAAACAAAAAGGAAGGCTTTAACTTTAATATAGTAAAGTTACATATAACAAAACAGATATCAAATAAGAATTATAGTTGTAATACTTATATTTACTTTATCTTTTATCAAACTAAGGAGAACTATAATTATGACTATAAATTCTTCAACTCCATCAAAGACTCCAAAAGGATATAATATTACCTAAGTAAACAGAAAGTGCATTGTAAACAACTTCCAAAACTTTAGAAATGACAGAGATATCTCGCTGTTCTTTTGTACTGTTGGGGCATCCATCTTTGGCCCATAGTATCTAGCAGACTTTTCCACGAAGCAGGAAATTTCAAAGACAGTTCAATCACTTTCTTCTGTGTCCTGCAGAACATCTGGCAGACTCTTTCATGAAGCAGGAACCCTGAAGGACCATCTCACCTTTAGGCAAGTTCAGCAGTCATCTCTCTGTGGGTACTGCATGTCCAGTGAAGCAGTTCAGGCAAGAGCAGTTTCTTGCCCAAATGGCTAGCAAGCTCCATAAGGAGCCTCTTCGATGCCCATCTTCCTCTTGAAGTAGCTCGTGCTGCCAGGAGCAGATCGTCTCATTGTCATGAAAAGTCCTAAGTTATTAAAACATTTTAAATGCCATATTCTATAGTCTTTGAAAGATATGAAGAATGCCTATCCATGTGAAATATATCTATGCACATCTAGAAAATCTAACTAACATGATTACAAACTTGACTATTATAGATGATTATCTATTCACCTGTGTTTCTTAATTATACATTACATTTTTAAATGAACTATACAATCGCAATACCTTAATCAAGATCAGAAATATATATATACATATAACAAAATTCACCTTAAATTCACATCAATAAAGCAAGATCCATACCAATACAAATTATTTATATCTATATCACATCCCCTTTTAAATGTAAACAGTTATAAACAATATTTAGAAATATGGGACACAGTTTTTTTTCTCTCCAAACTACTTCGTGCTGTATGGGGGTACTGTTAATCAAGTCTTTCATGGTGTATCCTGTGTGCTAGGTTCATCTTAGCAGTTGAGCAAAGTAATTTTTTGAGGGTGTTCACAGCAACCTTTCAGAGGGGCATGGTCTATCAAACCATAATGGTCTATAAGCAATCCACAGGGTCTCATCTTCTGTGAAAACAAAAGAAGAACCTCTTTTCCAAAGCATCATATCCTTAGACCCAAATTCTGAAGTCAAGATACATTTATAATATACATGTTGGTTTAGTTTAGCAGCCCATACAATGAAATGTCTCTCTGTACTTAGCTCCTTTATAGTCAAAAATTTTAAAGAAAACACAATAATAGACAAAATCCAGACTCTCTGTGAATTTTCCATGTTCACGTGGCTTATTTTTCTTTACTTTCTTTAATCTATGTTTATCTGTACTATGTCTCTTTAAAGACTTTACCCCTTTTTTAAGCATTAACTTTGTTTTTATGACTCTCTATACTCTTTTTCTTCTTTCTCCCAAGCCTACATACATTTATTCAACACTGTGACCCATTTAGAGGTCGTTTTTGTCTGAATCTGTGCTGTTGTGAATCTGTAATTCTTTACTGTCCAGGAGCACTTCTTAAAATACTAAGCGCTTCTTAAAAGCTTAAATGGTGCCATTAGTAAGGGTAATACGGTAATACCTGTTTGCCTGCCCAGCCTAACAGCTGCGCTATTATTATGGCAAATATGGGAGTTCCTGCTCACATTCTACACATTTCAGCATGGCGGAGCTGCTTGCATCTCTGAGCCATGCCCACTGACCAACTTCCAGGCACAAAGCTGGTCCACGTTGCCATCAAGCAAGCTGCAGCAATCTTCTCAGAAACCCCATCCAGATTCTCTGTCTCCCGCAAGAGACACAGGTTGCACTGGCGGCACAGCCCAGAAAACTGATATTTTAAAACTGCCACGTTTTTCCTGCTTAGGCTGCTGAGCTAGGAAAATCTCTCTGAGGTGTGCTGCCAGCAAACAGCAAAAAGCTGTGTTAAACTCTGTATTTGTGTCTGTAATTCCTTTTCAAGCACTCTCAGGTTTTATGTGGAGTTAGTTGACCATGTTGAAGCACCAATTGTTACAAGGAGAGGGCCCCTTATTTGTCCAGGCTACCCTGCTAGCTTATACCCGAAATAACCACACGGAAACTGTATTCATTAAAACACGGTGTGGCCCATTAGCTCTAGTTTCTTATTGACTAATTCTTACATCTTAATTTAACCCATTTCTATTAATCTGTGTATCGCCACGTGACTGTGGCTTACTGGCAAGATTCTAGCCGGCGTCTGTCTCAGGTAGAAGATTCATGGTGTCTCTCTGACTCTGCCCTTCTTCCTCCCAGCATTCAGTTCTGTCTTCTCTGCCTACCTAAGTTCTGCCCTATCAGGCCCAAAGCAGTTTATTTATTAGTCAATGAAAGCTACACATGAACAGAAGAACCTCCTACACCAAAACAGAACTTGCTCAAGAATGTGCCCATTCTTAAAGTGCTTTTCTATATGAGTATTTATCAGCTTTTCCAATGAAATCCATGCGTTTTGTTTTGCTCTAGGGGGATGCTGCTTTGGAAATAACCCGTATTGTCCTGTGGTGGGTAGTAAGTCTTTCTCCATTCTTTTATTTCTTGGTCTTATGGTTCCCCAAATATAGACCCATATATTTCATTACAATATGGGTCAATTTACACAGTGTATATAGAAGACATTTAAAAATGCTTTCTTCCTTTTCTATTTATGAAAATGAAGACTTAGATTTATGCATTCAACTTTGCTTAGAAGAAAGAAGCCAGGGTGTGTGTGTTCTAGTTGCCATCTATTCTGTCCACTTTCTCTGTCAATTCTTTTTTTCAGCCAAAAACACTTATGCAATATTGAGAAACACATTGCATTCAAGTGGTTTTTGTTAGTTCTATACAACCTTTTAAATGGGTTTATATGGGTTTTGCTTTGTTTTTAAGTCTTCACTTTTTTAGTTTGAAAATTTAAGATAAAAAAGTGGAATTTCTTATTTCCTGATCTGGACATAAATGATCTATAAAGTACAGCCATGTTATTTTAAGGTTTTTGCCCAAGGCTTTGCAGTGCAGCTAAAAAACTAACCAACATGAGCTGCTTAGGCTAGCGAGAGTGTATGGCACATGGTCTCACTATTGCACTGTGGCTTGCATTCCAGTTCAACAAGCATTGAGTAGTCATAGGGAACCCTGGTGCCCTGTCTGGCTAGTGGGCTGACAACTAAGGGGGCGACTCTAACCATGCTATTATTTATATTTTCATTGCAAACTGGGGAATGGTTCTTGGTTGCTTCTCATTTGCTCCAGCTGGGCTATGAAGTTTGGGGCTTTGTTGTTATTTAGTACTTGTTTTACCCACTGCTCCTTGGCCTACAGTGAGAAAAAACTCACAAGGTTTTATTTGTTTGTTTCTTTTGGTAATCTGGAAAAAAAAAAGAATAAAAAGCAGACAGTTCCCTTACCTGTATTAATCTGGACATTTCCTTAGTTTAGGACCATAAAGCTCTTCCTCAGGTCTACAGGGAGCAGAGCTGATGTAAACAGCTTGGGGGCCTCCTAGGTCTATGAAGTCTTTATGCACACACCAGGTACAAGGCCTCTAAAAGGGGAGGACAGCACGGGCTATGTGCACACCAATTGATTTCCTTTCAGGAAAACTCGCTTTTTCTCCTCAGAACTCATCCATATCCAGACAGGACACTGGAATTTCTGTGGAAAAATCCCTAAATTATTTGGTAAGATACCTTCCCTAGGCAGCTTTTCTCTGCTTTGAAGATGCAGAACAAGTTCTGAGGGTTCCAGGCCAATACTTGGGCCATTGTGATGCTCAGAATGCAAATCAGTCAGAGGCCAGAAAGCTTCTTCCATCACCTCCTCCTGGAGATGGCAGCAAGCTGAGGCAAAGACCAGTCACAAGACACACTGGCACATTTCGTGGGTTCTGCTTGGTTTTCTCTTTAACTTAACGAGCCATCATGGGAACAGTCAACAACAATCCTTCATTCCTAAACATCTATGAGAAGATGAAAAATTATGCCCGACCCGACACCCTGTGTCACACATTTGACCTTCTCTCTAACCTTCACAAGTTGCTTCCGAATCACTTGGTGGAAGTGCTTCATTCCTATAGAAGTGAGAGTGACAAAATCAAATGTAAGTGAGGAGGGGGCAGATGAGAATGCGTATATTTGCATGACGTTATGAACCCTCTTCTGTTAGCTGTGAGCATTAACTTCTTGACATTGCAGGTGCCATCAGTTCATGAGATACATGCCACATCATGGCTTGCTAAGTCTGTGTTCTCAGAACAGGCTGTGAATTTGCCCATGGGTAGGGGTCTCTCTCTCTCTCTCTCTCTCTCTCTCTCTCTCTCTCTCTCTCTTGATGTTTTGACACAGAGTTTCTCTGTGTAACTTTGGAGCCTGTCCTGGAACTCAGTCTGTAGACCAGGTTGTCCTCAAACTCACAGAGATCCACCTGCTTCCTAAGTGCTGGGGTTAAAGGTATGTGCCACCACTGCCTGCCAAAAATACACCTGTGGAAAGATGACCATGAGCCATGTACAGGTGTCCTCATTACAAATTAAGATGTGGCTTTGATGTTGAGATTAGTGCGAGAACATTCAAGGTGAGGGTCTGATTACAAACTTCACTCCTTGCTTCAGCTCTCTACTATTCCCTTCTTCTTTTGCTAGGAAGGAACTTGGTTATTCCCCTTAAAGTAATTTTAAGTATATATATTTTTTTATTATTTAGTATTGCTATTTTGAGATTGAGTCTTGATAGGTTGCCCAAGATGGTCTGAAATTTCTGGATTCAAGTCATCCTCCTGCTTCAGCTTCCTGGGTAGCTGAGACCATAGGCATGCGCCACTCCATATAGCGAGTAGTCTGTAGCTTTTGCGGTTTGGAGTGGCCTGGTGGTCTTAAATTGGGTCAGGATGGTTGAGAATTTGATTTGTTGCACTTAATGAACCCCAACCTTGAATTGTTTGACTAACTGTAAGATACTGGTAGATGGCAGCCACCTGTGCCCCAAAACTTGGAAGACAAAATAAAAACATACACACTGATTCAAATAAGGCAAGGGCTGATACATGTTTACCTGTTGGAACTAAATTGGTTGTATTCAAGTTAATCCCTTCTTCATAATCCAGAGCATTATGAGTAAGCCCATATATCCAAGTTACATTATACATCCCACATTACATAAGGAACACACACAGAATTTAAGGCTCTTAGCACAGAACTTCCCAAACCAGCTACTTTTTTACTCTGTCCGTACCTTAGTTCTTCCTTTCGCTCCATTCTATTGACTTTTTTTGCTACCTTTAGGTGAATTACAGGCGAATTGCATAGCTTTGGGGATTTATATTGCGAATGAAATATCAGTTCTGATAGAAGCTTTGAAATCCACTCTTGGCGTGTTTAGATTCTTCCCACTTCCCTCTGCTCTGGTGGATTGAGATTCTGAAGCCAGAAGAAGGCAATGGTGATGTGCTGAGTCTGCCTGTTTCTCTCTCAGCTTTTCCCTCGGGGAAAGGAAATGGAACAGGAATTGCTCATGTGAAGGGCAGGCATATGTAAGCGGTTCTGGATTCTTCTGTTGTGTTGGTGTATGGTCTGTGGATCTAAAGTCCTCCATAGACTGATGATTCGAATGCTCGATCCCAGATGGTGGCACTATTTTGAGTGACTCCAGAGACCTAGCAAGTGGAATCAAACCGGAAGAAGTAGGTCACTTAGGGACACATTATTACTGGCAACTTTCTGATGTGCTTTTTGTGATGTGTGTGGTTAGCTATGACGGAGACAGCTCTCTTATGGCACTTGTTCCTACAGCCATGATATTCTGCCCAAGCTTGTGGGATCCAGCGATCGTGTATCCAGACCCCTAAACCATGTGCCGGAATACTCAAACCTTCTTTTAGTTGTGTCTGTCAGTTCTGATAACAGGGTGTAAACCTTACCCTCTCAAGGCAGTTCCACATTCTGTCATCCTCACTGCTGTGACCACCCAGAGAGCTCTAGCAGTAAGAGACAAAGGTCTAAATCCCAAGTCTCTGTTATTGGAGCTCCAAGTGCAGAACACTTCTTAGGCAAAACAGCAGGAACATGGCGCTCCAAATTAAAAGCAAGACTATAATCTCCACTCATTCCATTTCCTTTGGGAAGTTTCAAAATGCATGATAATAATTAACTAATAATTATAACAATGGTATTACAACTTACTATTAGTCTACAAACTATACTTAAAAACCAACAATCGTATCACTGGTCTTGGCACACTTAATACATGCATTTTAGTGAATGCATCTCTTAGACTAAGATGATAAGAAATTTTGCTGGGATAAAGGGGTGGCAGAGCTGAGAGGTAATTACCAAATTGCCAAAGTACAGCTGGGGGAATACCTAACATGTGAGATCCTGGGTTCCATCCTTAGTGCCCGGTACACACACAAAGACTTTAAAGAATCTTACTGTGCAGAGGTAGAAATGAACACTGATTCATGTTAATACTTATTCTACCACCAGGTGAGAATTCTGAATTCTCTGGCATCGAAAAGGTCCTAGCAAGACATCAGTTGCCAAGAGAGGTTAGTCTATCTCCGAAGCCAAGTAAAATGCCCTCACGTAAAAGAAAAATTATCAACAATATCAGTGGCAACTGGAGGAAATGTCAACTGTGGAAGAAAAACATATGTGAACCACCCATGTGCACGATCATTGCCAGGTAGGTTCTTGGGCTTTTGTCTCCCGCTTATGTTTAAAGAAACACAGAATGGTCCCGGAAACTCTTCATTCCAACCCCTCCAATACAAGATTTATTTGGTCTTTATGAAACATGGAGGCTATGGAACCGGGCCTTGCCTTCATAAGAGTACACAGCTTCTGCTTTCCCACATCCCAAGTTACTGAAGAAGCCCTCAGTGCAAGCAAACTCATGGAGGTGGGAAGAGTGGTGTGTCATGGTCAGCTGTGCTTGCTGCCTCCTGGTCTAGTGCGCAGAGATCTGCAGCACTGCTGCAGGATTGCTGGAGAGGGACCCATCCACTCAGCACCGCCATTAGCATGACCAAGGACCAGACCCTTGGCTTTATCCTCAGTCTGCCAGATTTTAACACTGGGAAAGGAGAGAGTCATGGTAAGGATGGAACAAGTCATTGTAAGGAAGGACTCAAGTACTCTCTGGCCTTCATGGAGATAGGTGGCAGCTGGAGCCCTCCTGGGAGCTTTTGTAGTTAATACCAGTGAGGAATAGCCGGTCTCAGGCTAGGTGAGAAAGCCAAGTCTTAAGCTCTGGTTACTCAGCAAGCCACTTTATTTTGAACATTTCCCTGCCCATGACTTCTATTTGCTGCTTTCCTATTGCTGACTGTACTGTACGAACTGTCACCTGTGCTTTGCACGTAGTAGGCATTCACATACTGTTAGTAGGCTGACAGGATAAAGCAGAGCCCTCTCTCATCTTAACAGATGTTAGGATGCTAACATACAGAGGTGCAGCCCATGAAGTTGCCTGTACTGGAAGCATCCTCTGAGCCCATCATCCTAGTTATCAAATCTCCTTGTCTACTTGTCCCCTGGTGTCCCCAGTGTCAGACCTTGCCAGACAGATTTAAAATTCCACAGCTAGAGATTGGGTCTCCTAGCCATAGCAGAAGCTATACCCATAAAGTCGCACCAACATGGCTGCCCAAATGTGAGCTGAACAAGGATGACACAAGTGGACATGCCAAGGTGGACAGAGGAAAGCACACAAGGCCTCAACCCTGTACAAAGAATACAGGCAACCGAGGAAAACTGGGAGTGGGAGAAGTGGTCATCCCCAGGGAAGAGCACACCAGCTGGTTGTCCAATGCCAAATGGTCAGGCCTAAACACACACACACACACACACACACAAACAAACACACATACATATGTAACATTATACAGACAGAACAGGTTACATTTGGAAATACATGTATGTATGCAATAGCAATTAGTAAAAAGAGACCTTGATTTTAAAGGAGAATGGAAAGGATTTTGAGGGAGGAAAAGGAAGATAGAAATAATATAATTAATTAAACTATAATCTCAAAAAAAACAATCTATAGCTAAAGAAACTAAAGTTATGGTATAAGGGGACAGTGGTCATTAGAATCATGGCATTTTCAGGGTAATACAGCAACACTAAATTTTTAAAGGGTAAAGGTTATTTTAAAATATTCAAATTAAGATTATGTGGCCATTTTTGGAGGCCTGTTTTCTAAATCAAGTTTCAACATTATTAGAAGGCTGTTTGGGGTATGTTGCCTTCAAATGGAATGGCATGTCTTATTTAGCATCCTAGCATGACCTATGGGAATGTGGCTTGACTATCAGCACCCAAGAGTGGATACTTATCTTCAAATATTTCCTTCTACAAACACACATCTGCTGTCCATGAAAGTGCAATCTGTTTTGTTCATTTGTGGGTTTCATTTGTTGTTTAGGGTCTCTGAGCTCATATAGAAATAAGAGCACAAAAAATAAGCTGGTGGCCAGTAACATGACCTTCTAGACACTTGAAAACTCTATCATCCTTACTCTCTTGTGACTTAACTGGTACCCTCGAGAGCATCCATTCTTGAAGGCAAGCCTAGGTGTCCCTGAAGAATATTATCAAGAAGAACAACGTCCTTGTCTAATGTTGCTTTTAGCACTGCTGGCTCTCCTGCCCTTGGTCATATGTAAAATGACAAGATCTTATGTGGTGGGGGAAAATGCAGGCACAATTTTGGAAGGTATAACTTTCAGTGAGAATGCATACTTTAATATGTGTAAATGTTAGACTGAGCCAACCACAGTAACCTTGAACTTAACACTGGCGAATGTGTTTAGTATTTAGAATCTGTATCTTCACTTGTAGAGAGGACAAGGCCTTTCCCTAACGAGGATTTAATCCATTTTCTATTGCTGTTGCAGAGTACTTGAGACTGAGTAAGTTACAAAGAAAAGAACTCCATTTAGGCTCATGGCTCTAGATGATAGAAAATCCAAGATAAGAGCCCGGCACTGCTGGAAAACATGGCAGAAGCTGGAAGGGCAAGTAAGGAAGAAACATGGAAGACAGGGAGCAAGCAAGCAGGGTAACTGCAAACAGAATTTGCAAGCAGGAATGACAGGCATTGAAGCCCTCCTAGCCATTTCCTTGCACTGTGTAGAGTTTGCCATTTTCAACATTCCAAAAACAATCACATAGCATTGGGCAGATGCTAGCTACCTGGCTGCAGAAAAGGCAGGTCCTGAAAAATGCCTTTCTGCTCTCAAAGTCACTGATGAGAACAAAACTGTCCTGCAGAAAAGGGGAATAATCCAGGAAGAAAACCTAGAAATGGAGCCCAGACCCTAAGGAAACAAACTTGTAGCCAAAAGTTTCTGGGAAAAGAAAATACATAGGAGCAAAACAGTCTTCAAAGATCAGACCTTAAGAAAGAGAGCTCAAAAAATACAACTGAAATAGTTGCTAATTACATTTAAAAAAGCCATAGAAAAGTTTATGTCAGAAGTCAGGAGAATGGTCCACATCTTGTTTCTTTTTGTTGTTGTTGTTGTGTGTGTGTGTGTGTGTGTGTGTGTATGTGTCTGTGTGTGTGTGTGTATGAACAATATCACATTTCACACAGGACTAGAATATAGAATCCAAATAGGTAGTGATAACTGATTTCATTTCTTTTGGATAAATACTCACAATTGGTATTACTGGATCATATAATTTCCCTGGCATCATTTTCAAGGGATAAAATATGATGGGCAGCAGGCACCAGCAACTTTTCACATTTTCATAAAACTGAATGCTTCAGACTAAGATTATTGTGATAAAAAAATTAAGACAGAAAAATGTACAGGCTTTAATAAGTTAGCTAATTGGAAACTACTGAATGAAAAAAATGAATGGTATTTACATTCTTATTATTTTTTGAGATAATATATCATTTCCCCTTTCCCTCTCCTCCTTTCAAACCCTCCCTTATACCCCTCTACTCTCTTTCAAATTCACGGCATGGATCTAATAGGCAGAGGCCTCTGCGACCATCACAGTCAGCAGAGCAACAATCTAGGGGAGGCTGGAAGATAGTTCAGTTCAGCACGACTAAGCAGCACGTGTTGGTTCTAACTTCCGAAGTCTGACTCCAAGTAGTCTATTCTTAGGCATATTTAAGCCTAAGCTATTAGGCATAGCACAATATGAAAAAGTTTCCCAGTGATAATTATTGCAATTCTATGAGCACAACAAAGCTTTATGACATGACTACGTACAAACTCTTTTTAGAGTACAAGTGACATCTTCCATAAAGATGGATTCTATAAAGGGGCCGAGACAATCAAGATCAAGATGAGGCTCTAGGGAGGACCTGATGTGGGCCTTGGCCACACAGATATCACAAGGGCAGAAAAAAAAAGTTATACGTCTCTGCCTTTGAAGAGACAACCCTGTGTGTTAACATTCCTGCTTACTGTAGTTCTTTGTCTTGGGCTGAGATCTCCTGAGCTGTCTGTCTGTCCCCTTCCGTGTTAGCATGTCTATGGTGGTGTCCTTGTTCAGATGTTTAGGCAGACATCATTGTGAAACGTCACAGGTATGTGTATCTGCTGACATTTCAAGGAGAGACAATCTCACAGCAAATTCCCTGTTTCTCCGGTTCTTACAGTCTTCCTGCCCCCTCTTCTGCCATGATGCCTGAGCCTTCAGTGCAGGGTAGTGTTGTAGATGTGTCGTTTGGGACTGGACCTCGCAACTCCACATTTTTGTTGGCGGTGGTTTTTCTGTAATGGTGTCCATCAGAAATGTTACTTTAAAAGGCAAAACTCCACGCCAGTTTTTGTGGGCTTCAAATAGCTCATGAAAGGCCTTGTCAAGTTAGAAGGTTAGGCAGCTTACAGGTGTCTCCCAAAACACCGCCCGGGGAACATTGCTTTTCCAGTGAAACAATCCACTGTCCCCTGCTTGTGTAGGTGTGTACTGGGAGAGAGGTGGCAATGAATATTCTTATTTGTTTTCCTCCCATTTGCTCCATTTCCAGGTGGGCGAAAAAGAACATGCAACCCCCGGAGGACCTCAAGTCGGGGATCCAAAGACTGTCTGTACTAGGCCCAATTGTCTCAGTCACTCCTTGTGGGCGCCAGAGTGCTGTCGTGGTGTTCAAAGACACGACCTCAGCTTGCAAGGCTGTGAGTGCTTTTCCGACCATGTCCACAGGCACTATGTTCCAGTGCTCATGGCAGCATCGTTTCATGTCAAAAAATGTAAGACTTCCTATTGAATGTGTAGCTACAACCTGTTCAGTGTGTATAATGTTACCCATATGTATATGATACCAGGGCTGACTACTTGACATTGGATAACCAATGTCTCCCACTCTGAACATTCCCCAGTTGCCTATAGCTCTGTCTATGGTTGAGGCTCCATAAGCTTTCCCCCTTCTTAGCATGCTCATTGGTGTTCATGTCTTGTTTAGGTAGCCATGTTGATAAGACTTCATGGGCGTAGCCTCTCTTGACTTCGTTAGGAGGCCCCATTTGTCAATTTTTGACCTCAATTCCGGGTTAAATGGGGTCTGATTTCAAAAGTCCTTCCCTACGTTTATATTGCGTATGGCACCGCCTGTATTTTCTTCTAGCAGTTCCAGTGTTTCAGGTTCCACATTCAGGTCTGTGGTCCATTTGGAATTAGTTTTTGTGCGAAGTGATGGGTACAGGTCTAATGTCAGTCTTCTACAAGTGGGCATTCAGTTTTCCCAGCGCCATTTTTTGAAGACACTGTTTTTTTCTCCAGTGTATGTTTTTGATACATTTGTCAAATGTTAGATGGCTATAGTTACCTATATGCATGTTTAAGTCTTTGAGTTTGTTCCGTTGACATGATCTTATTGTGCCCACACCATATTGTTTTTATTACTTTGGCTTTGTGATATATACTGAGGTCTGAAATGATAATTCAATAGCATTTCTCTTTTTGCTCTGGCTCATACTGAGGTCTTTTGTGGCTCCATATAAATTTTAGAGCAATTTTTTTTCTATTTCTATGAGTAATCAATGGGAATTTTGACTGGGTAAAATTGAATCTATAAATGGTTTTTTGGCGGAATAGTCATTTTTAAAATAGTCATTCTACCAATTCATGACCATAGTTTCCCTTTCCATTTTCTAGTGCTTTTCTCTCTCTTTGGTCAGACATTTAAAGTTTCCATTGTAGAGGTCTATGACCTCCTAGGTTAGATTTATTCCTGGATGTCCTACATAAATTCCTAAGGCTTGTTTTATGGAAGTTTTTATTTGTCATGACCGAGGCATTCTCACCATAGCTTCTATGTTTCTTAGGAAAAAAAACCAAGGCCCCACAAAAAAACCACCATGACATGCGTGTTGTTCAAGCTCCCAAAGCGAGAGCTCATGGTACACCCTTCCTCTGAGAGGTCTAGCTGCTGTAGTGGACTTCACAGTTTTACTTTCCTGGACACGAACTCCAAGAGTGCGTTCGATCATTCTTCTGATGTCAGCCTTTCTTGGATGATAGTGCTCTCTTCAGCGTTAACAGCGTGCAGCTTTTGTTTCTCATTTTTTTCTCATTAACTCTTTGGAAATTTTCATACCCTGTTGCAATGAAACCAAGAATAAGAGTTATTCAAACAGGAATAATATTATAGGATTCTTTTTTGTTTGTTTGTTTGTTTGTTTGTTGGAGGCAGGGTCTCTCTACACGGCCTTGGCTGGTCTAGAGCACACTATATAGACCAGGCTGGCCCCCAAATCATAAAATCCACCTTCTGCAGCTTCTTGAGTGTAGGAATTAAAGGAGTACACCACTATTTCTGGCTATTTCTAGTTTTAAAAATTGTTTATTTGAGTGTATGTGTGTTTTCACTACTTGCATGTGTATGTACCGTGTACATGCAGTGATTACAGTGGCCACAAAAGGATGCTAGATCCCTTGGACTGGGGTTACAAATGGTGAGCCACTATGTGGGTGCTAAAAATTAAACCTGGGCTCTCTGGAAAAGCAGCAAGTGCTCTTGGGTGCTAGGCCATGTCTCCATCCCCCTTTCTGCCTTTTCTTCTTTTCGTTTCTTTCTTTTTTCTTTTTGTTTGCTTTTTGAGACAGTGTTTTTCTGTGTAGCTTTGGAGCCTGTCTTAGAACTCATTCTGTGGACCAGGCTGGCCTGAAACTCAATGAGATCCACCTGCCTCTGACTCCCAAGTGTTGGGATTAAAGGCATGAGCTCCCACCACTTAGCTACTGTTAAATCTTTCTAAGATGTGCGGGCTTCCCATGCCTGACTGTGTAAAGAGGAACACAGTGAGTGTGAGGCAGCTCTGTTATTATACATTTCTAAACAGCCCTAGATGGATACAAATCTTCTGGTTCCAGGATCACACACTCAACAGTACGAATGTAAGAACAATCAGCCACGAGCTGATACAAACTGATGTGCTATAGAGTGGGGTCCCCTAAATATACTCAACCTCCTCACCTCCCACCTGAATTCCAAAGTAAAAAAGCTGGGTGTCTACTGGAAGGATGTCCCATTTGACCTTGTAACATGGAAATGTCTATCTGGTGAGTTCTCTTTCAAAACATCACTTAATAGATGTGATTATAGCATCTTTGGTAACTGCTAACACGTTTCTCCATATTTTTAAAGTTTAATTATTTGCCTTAGCTGTGAATTATAAGAATTATTTATAGACACAGGTTACAAGTAAATATCATGCAAAGATTTTTTACTGATCTGTAGCTTATCATTACTTTTAAATAAAAATAAAGGCTCTTGCTACGTAGCACAGGCTGGCCTCAAACTTAAAGCAGTTCTCTGCTCGGCCTCACAGAAGAGTGCTGAGATCTCAAGCATGAATTATCACGTCCTGCTGGCTGGTGTGTGTGTGTGTGTGTGTGTGTGTGTGTGTGTGTGTGTGTGTGAAGGGGTAGTGGTGAGGAAGAGTGTAGAAGAGGGTCTCGTGTAGCTTAGGGTGGACTTCAATTTGCTGTGTGGCCAAAGATGACCAACTCCTGACCTTCTGTCCTCTCTGCTTCCTAAGCACTAGGCATACTCCCACACATCACTGCACACACATCTCCATCCATTTCAATTTCAGTATGCCTATCTATCTATCTATCTATCTATCTATCTATCTATCTATCTATCTATCTATCTATCTATCTGTGAGTGTGTGTATGAATGTGTGTGTGTGTGTGTGTGAATTGGTTCTCTCCTACCTTGCGGGTCTCAGGTTTTGAACTTAGACCATCATACTCAGCGACAAACGCCTTTGCTAGAGCAGCTGTCTTGCCCACTCCTCGGAGTTCTCTCTCTCGTTAATGTTCTCTCTCGGGGTTTAAAGAGCCCTTATGTTTCATTTCTTGTGTCTTTTTTATTTCTCCTTACTGCCAATTTTTACACGGATTTTTGATTGATTGCTTTATAAACATGTTCTTTTTTTCTATACTTAAGAAAAAATTTTCATGAGATAAGATCTTACTCTATAGCTCAGACAGGCTGGCCTCAAACTCATGGCAATCTTCCTGCCTCAGCTTTCCAAGTCTTGGTATTACAGGTAAAAGCCAACACATTGTTTATTTATATAGCTTTGTTGGATAATAAATATTATTAAAATAGTCACTGATGTAAGTAGACAAATACTTAAACTTAATTTTTAATGGTAAGACATAGTAGTAATTTTCATGCATATTTGTGAGAATATATGATTTATGTAGCATATAAATAAAAACATAAAATACTCTCATTAATGTCACTTTTCTTTTTCACCCCAGAAAGTTTGGTCAAGAAAACCCTTGACCTTCAAGAATATAATGGACAACGTAGCTTCAAGAATATAATCAGAAAAGAAACCACAGCTAAGTTGACATAAACAGGTACACATGAGCATGGCAAGGAGCAGTTACTGCATTGCTATTTCCAAAGATGGAACGGTGGATGCAGTTAAGGCCTAAGGTTCTAGCAATGAACTGATTAAAAGTTTTGGGACAGTCCCTTACCCTCTCTGTGACAGTTTCCTCTATCTGTAAACCTAGTATGGCCTCATAGGGCTGCTGTGTGTATTGTGTAAAATGTGTATATGTATTAAGAGAGTACCTGAGCACTGTGGGCATGCAAACATCTATTTGATCAAATTTAAAACTCACATGGAAATGGTGCATTTGCTGGTAGAGAAGCTACTAGCATATTTAGTTGCTCATATTTAAGACCAGTATCCATCACAGATAACAGCACAGTGATAGGTATTTTAATAGACTTGAATGTGAGCCTCTTGTTCAATACAGTATTTGTTTATTAAGCCAATAAAAAACCCAGGGAATGTCTTCAGTGGTTAGCCGGGAAACTTTGGCCCCTCCGAAGGAGAAGGAAGCAGAAGACCTGGGGGCTGCTGGTCTATGATACTGGGGTAATCACTAAGATAACTGTCATCACATCTGTGTTTAAAACAAAACTCAGAAACAGCCTAAGGTTTCAGAAGCCAGGCACTGGTGAGATTGGCTAAGTTATAGAAACCAAATACTAGCACTGGTTTCCATCTAAGTGAGTTTCCCCCCAAATAATAAATTCCACACTGAGTATTTAAGGCTAGACAACGTGCTACTATGAATTACACACAGTTAGTGGAACCAGTTAACTCACACAGTCGCTCCTGCAGCCAGAGACAGCTATAATAGATCTATTCACTTGGTAAACTTTCTAGATATAGTCCACTATTATTGACTATAATCTGTACACTGTACATTAGATCCTTCAGTCCTATGTATCTGCTTTATATCCCTTACATCACATCACCCCCACCTAACAAAATGGTTCCTGCCTTGTTCTTTTTCTTCCTCCCTTCCTTTCTTTCTCTGATGCTGCTGGGGGAATCAAAACAGAGCCTTGCTCACATTAGGTAATAAATGCTCCATTATTGATCCAAACCCTACTTTCAATTTTTAAAACTTAAATCTTCTTTGTATTTTGTGTATGTTCAAAATATTTTATTTTTGGTCACCACAGAGATACACTATAGTAAGAATAAAAATTAAAATACTAAATGCAATGGCGAACACAGGTCTAAACTGTGTTGTGGACTCAGGACTACTTGGGGCTTTAGTTCTCTGATAGGCAAGGGAGGGAGAGCAGTAAACGACCACAGTCCCTTCTCACTGTAGAAAACTAAATACTAGGCTTCCTGAACTAGGAAAAGAGGACCAAGCAACCTGTGTGGAGGTTATAGCCTCTTCAGCAAGCTTTCAATCATCTCTGAGCATTTGGAGGCAATATTCAAAATAAAAATTGAGTAAATATTAAACTCTGATTAAAATACAGAATCACCAGAGTTGGGGTTATGTTTATGGCAATATATGTGTTTAAGAAAATCAATAAACAAGCAAGGAAAAACCCCAAATTGTCAAGTTAGACTGAGTCTTTAAGAACTATCTAAATGACTGCATTCTACCACTGTCTTGCTGTGTTTTCTGTGGCTGTGATAAAACACTGACCAAAAGCAACTTGGAGAGGGAAGGGCTTATTTGGGTTATAGGTTACAGTTCATCATTGAAAGAAGTCAATGCAGGAACTCAACAGAAGCAGAAGCAGGAGCCATGGGGCAAAATTGTTTATGGGCTGGCTCACTATGGTTCACTTGGCCTGCTTTCTAGTATGGCCCAGAGCCACATTTGATGGGTGGCAATGTCTATAGCAGTCTGGAACCTCCCACTTCAATCATCAATCAAGGGAATGCCCCGTAGACAAACCCACCAAACAATCTGAGGGAGGCAATTCCCCAACTGAGTTTCCCTCCTTCCACGTGACTCCAGTTTGTGTCACTGATAAAAACTAACCAGCACAGCCATTAGCTCCCATAATATGTTTAGCTCTAGTCAGTATAAAGGAGAGTCATGGGAGCTCACTGATTAGCCAGGAACAGAATTACCTTGTCAGATGCGTAGACAGCATCAAATAGTCCCAGAAGGGTGACGGCGAGTCCTACAGCTGGGCCATTTACTACTGCAACCAGAGGCTTGGGAAAGTCTATAAAACCGCTTACAAGTTCCCTACAGAAATGGAAATAGGAAAGCATTTCATATTTCAAAGTAGTACTACCTAACTATAGAAAGGATTGAATACATTAAAGCTGACACTACCCTAAAGGGTCACCTTCCCAGGCTAAACCAAGAGCCTTTTAAATGGGAAGTCAGACCATGACTCCTACAAGCTGAGCCTGATTCACACTGTTTCCTGGACAGTGAGTTCAAGGCTGTGGGCCAGCTGTGACCTGAGACATCATGGTGGGTGACTACGTGCATAACTGCTTATCGCAGCACAGGGGGACTGAGAGACTTGGCAGAACTGGGATAGGAAGGTGAAGCCCCAAACCTCCTTCAACAGCTTTCAAGACTCCTTCCAGTCACAGCCAGCATCTGCAGGCACTGTCTATTTACCCTGCTGCGTGGTAACTCAGACTCCCTCTGCCTCTTCCTCACCGTACACTTTCCACTCAACCTCACGAGACTGCAGGATGAAGAGGGATCTATGGGGAATCGTGATTAAGTGACTCAGCACAGACAAGTGACTGTTTACTGTTGGGGGGATGAGGAGATGACTCATCATTTAAAACATCTGCCAATCAAGTATGAGGACTGGAGTGAAGTTAGGAATCTGAAAGCAGTCTGAATCCCTTCGTCCCACTGCGGGCTTCCCTCTATGGACCTGTTGTCCTTCCACAGCTGTTTCTTGGCCTTATCTCCCCCACCCCCACCCCACTCAGTCTTTCTTCAGATCTCACTGTTTCTGCATTGCTGTAACTTGATCAGCCCTGACTGGCTTTGCTTTCTTCCCACCTCTGCAGCCTGCTTTCCTCCTGCTCTCTGACTGATCTCCCTACAGTGTAAATCTGACATCTCTCAGTTCCGGTGTTGATGGCATTTGGGGGCAAGACCTTTGAGTACTGACTAAGGTGAGACATTAACAAACAGCATGAAGGCCCTGGCCGGTTGTCAGACCTTGACAATTAGACATCGTAGCTTCCAGAATGCCGAACTGGCTTCTGTTGTCTGTTATTTACCCAGTTGGTGGCTTTTCGTTGTAGAAACATAAAATGGACCAAGACACTGACATGACTCACGACAGTCTCTTGATCCTTCCTCTGTCACTGGAATCTTGTGTGGGTCCCTTTGCCTAATAAGTAACCCAAACTTCTTAGTGTAACACATAAGGAAGGCCATTGAGATTTGGCCCATAATGTCTACTCATCTCTCCTGCTTGCCCTTTCCATTCATTCATTCACACACTCATTTATCCATTATGTTAGCTTTTATGATATAGTCTCACTGTTTATCCCAGGCTGGTCTCAAGTATTTGGTGATCCTCCTGCTCCTGCCTCTTGAGTTCTAGGATTATAGGCCTGCACTGTGGTATGCAAGCTCTTTATTTAAAAGCATTTGTTTTGAGGCAGAATCTCACTATAAAGGCCCTACTTGAACTTGTGTTGATCCTCCTGTCTCAGCCTTGGGTTGCAGGTAGACATCCCTGCCTGTTCTTTCTGTTTGGAAATGGTGTCCAGCGTCTCTGTGTCTCTGCAGCCTGTGCTTTCTCCATCCAGACACTGTTTGACATGAGAAGTCTCTGACCCCCTTGCTGGCTCTAGTTTCCGGCTGTGATCCTACTCTCCAGAGCTGGCCTATTTCCTAAGACAGATGTCACTGAGTTTATCTCAGACTAGCAATTTGTTCAGCCCTCATCTGCTATGTCCCATCTCTGAGCACCCTGCTTGACAGTAAACATTGGCTGTTTGTTGCGTGTAAGTGAACTGTTGAAAGCTTCTGTCTGACCTGTGTGTTTCCACATCTGATGACAACTTCGGGTCAATTGTCACCTGTGGGTAAGCTATCAGACGGTGTTAACTGACTTCATGCTCACAGGCATTTCTTTGTCTGTGAGTCACAGGGCAGGCAGAGGAATTGGACTTTTGCCAGGTCCCTAGGACGAAAGCACCAGGGAAAGTGGGACCGGGGAAAATCATATTCACATATAATTGCAGGGGGAAGGCACCTATTATGACTTGATTAGTATCTAAAGAGCCTCAGGACCCTCTGTTCTCCCTCATGTTTCCTGCTTCATTTTCATGATCCTGCTTGAGATGAACAAACCTGTGTAACTGTGACGGAACAAACTTGGGTTCTGTTTCTTTTACCAGCCGTTCCTCGTCTTCAATCTTGTTGTTTTGAGACAAGGCCTCATGCGTCTCTTATTTCAAAGTTTCTACATAGCTGAGATGATCTTGAACTTCTGATCACCCTTCCTCCATCTCTAAGTTCTGGATTATTTGACAACAACAGGTTTGAATCTAGGGTTTCATGCTCCACCGGTAAGCATTTTACAAGTCAAACCACTTGTAAAATGATACAATATCCACTGGATAAAAAAATCCACTGATACCTTTACCACATTATTATTATTATTTTATTATTTATTCCCAGGATGACCTTAAAATCATCTTCCTGCCTTGGAATCACTAGAGCTGGAATTGCAGGTGTACACCATGAGAATCTCCTCTCCTCTCCTCTTCTCTCCTTTCCTTTTCTCTCGTCTCCTCTCTTCTCTTCTCCCCTTCTCTTCTCTCCTCTCTCATCCTCTCTTTCCCCGTCTACTCCCTCTTCTTACTCCTCCCACCTCCCTTCAAGCTAGGGTCTTGAACACAGTCCAGGTTGGGTTCTAAATCAGGATAGTTCAGTCTTTCGGGGATTACAGTTTATGCAATATGCTTTTCTTTTGCTTCATCTTTAACAACCCGCCCCTCCACAGAGTGTTCTAAGTCAAAAGAGGGACCTCGGTAATGATTCCTTCCTTTCTCATCTCATGGTTCCAGCTGAAAAAAATGAACATGTCTTTAACACTGGTACCTAGAGAGCTAATTGATTTTGATGAGAAAGAAAACAGTTATTGGGAAGAAGATGCCCCTTGTGAAGTGCTCTTGACCATTGTCTTATTCTAACCCCCATCTGCCTCATAAGCTCCCTTCCTTCATGTCTTTAAGCCTCTGAAGATGGAGATCGGAGGCAGGAAGGACTCTGCTGTTTCGCTCAGTGCCTGTCACTGGCAGCAGGAATGAACCCATGCAGCTAACTGGGTGACCTGATGATCATCCTGAAGGATGCAGAGTGCTCATCTGCTCGAGAGACAAGGGAGCTCCTTCATGACTCCGGGTCCTCTACTCAGGAGACAGAAGAGTGGCCCTCAGACTCCTTTGCAGGATGGTGGGAATGACGCAGAAAGACAAGAGAACTCGGATGGAGTCGAGCGCCTACATCAGGAGAAGGATGTTATGTCTGTGCCTCAGCAGCAGCTGTGTGTGACCCAGGGACGGTGAGGCTAATCAGCTGTAGCTGAGTTTAGTCATCAGGGACAGTGCATGCTGCTGGGATCCCTGTGTTTTCTACAGGATTCTGCCCTTGAAGAGGAGACTGTTTGCAGGTGCTCTGTGCATGCTTGAAGCTTGAGAAGGGGGCACTAGTAAAGAGAAAACGTTCATCAGTGGGGTCCTTACTAACACCTAGATCACAGGAGTGTGGACGAGGGCCTAGGCCATCAGCCTTGTCAAACAGTCTGTTTGCAATGCTCTGGGAAAGGCCAGCACAGCTCCTTTTCCAGGGTGTGGAGCTCATTATGTAGAAGCTCCAGGTGTCAGCAGTGAGACGAATTAGAACCAGGGGCTTGAGAGGCTTTCAGAAGCTTCCCTCCCTAACTAGCTCTCCTGCCTCAGGTCACCAGGAGTAAATCTGTTTCCTTCTGATTCTGTCTGACTCCCAGGTTTTCAGGACAGCAGCCAGCAGTCAAAATCTGAAATTCCACTAACACAATTACTAAGCATTTTTCCCCCCAGAATCAACTTGTTTTCTCTTTGTCTCTCTCTCTCTCTCTCTCTCTTTTTTTTTTTTTTTTTTTCTGGTTAGGCTGTGCATCCGCGTCTCACATCACAGCACACAAATTTATTCAAAGATGCTAAAAATAGCATGCTGAATTTTACCCACTTCTGGGATCCTCACCTTACTCCAAATGCTTATAATTCAGAAAAGAAAGACATCTCAGAAATAAACATTGGCTCCATTTGCCTTCGTATTCCTCACATATTCATGGTTTTCTTGCCCAAAGCCTTTTCTCTCATTCTCTTGTGTATTACACGAGTATTAGACCAACTTATGCTCCATGATTACCTTCAACTACTTTCCTGGCAAAGAAATATCCCTCAGGTATTACTCTCTGGAAAAATCACAAGTGGTAGTCATTACTGTGTAGGAAACAGATTTTTTTCTAAACATCTAATAATACATATTTTTGCATTTATCCAAAGTTTAATCTATAGTCTGCCCCAAAGTGTAATTAAAATGAGAGCCATCAAAACACCGTGGTCAGCCTAGGAGAGCCACAAGGACCGTCATATACATTAAACACAGTGTTATATAATTTACTCTCATTCAAGGGATAAGAAGGATAAGAAGCAGGTGCCATCTTTATTATCTACATTTATAAGCAAGGGTGACCCGACACCCTCCTCCTGTGCTAGAAAGAGCTAAACTGAAAATTCACCCACAATACCAGCAGTTCACCAGCAATCAAGGGGATGGGGGAACCAAACCAAGCAGCCAGCCAAACATCCTCCTGGGCAGAGCAAGCTTTGCCCTGCCCGAGCCTTTTGTTATGGTCACTTACTGTCCTCTGCAACTTCACCCCCTGGGCCAAAGGGTCTCTAGTCACCCAAACAGTGACACAATTCCTGCTGCAGTTGGCGATGTTGGGCTTGCCTTAATTAGTGTTAGTGGGTGTTGGCAGTGTCTTACCCTGGGTCTCTAGATCTGACTGGGCCTCCAATAAAGCCTAATCCTTCTGTTATGTTGTAGCTCAGAAGAGGGGTGCAGTATAGTGCTGTTGGGCAGGGTTTTAAGGCATGTTGGGGGTAGTGGGTGGTGTCTTACCTGGGGTCCTTAGGACTATCCTGGCCCCTGGTAAAGCTGCAGTGGGGCTGTGGGTGAGAGGGGATCAGTACAGGATGTGCCTGGGGATCAGGGTCTGGGTGTGGGCCAGTTCGGCGGGGAGGCAGGTTACTTATCTGTTCTTCTGACTGGTGTGGATTGTACCTGGGTCTGTGGAGTCTATTGGGGGAAGGACTGACCACAAGGAGGATGATAAGGTAGGAGGGGTTGGGTGGCAGAGTGGGTTTTGGGAAAGCAGAATCCAGGAGTGGGAGCAGTCTAGCTGGCAGGTGGGTCACTCACCTTCTGGTCAACTCCCCTTTTGTTTTTAAAACAATATTTTCTCAGGTAACTTCACCAATGTTTCTCCAGCTCCATGTGCTCACTTACACTGTATATAGGAAAATGACAATTGATGCTTTGTATTAGTGAATCCTATCATGTTTTTTTTGGTTGGTTTTGTGCGTGTATGTGTGTGTGTGTGGTGTGTCTCGTAGGTTTGGTGTTTTGTACTTGTGTGTCTCACAGATTTGGTCTCTTGTACTTGACTCTTCACGTTTTCCTGTCCTCATCGGTACTCCCTTTCTTCTCTGCCCAAACATGCACAGGACAGTTCTGCACTTGACACTGTCAGACCAGAGGTATGACTTTAGTTCCCAGCTGAATTATGAGTCTCCCCAATAGCGTCTTCTTGGGTTGTGATGCATTCACTGGTAGAAAATTCAACTTGCAGGTCCCATCCAGTTAATGTTGTACATTATTTCTGATAGTTCTCTTAAATAATATCTTTTTTAACTCTAAGTATCTGTAGTATCATATGGGAGAGAAATTTAGCACGTATTTCATACCTTTCAAGATTTTAAGCCCAATTATTACTGAAGACAGTCTTCATAATGATATGCCTTATCAAGACTTCATAGTTACACAGGCCAGACGAAATTAATGCATTAAAGGGCTGTTTCCAACCATAGGTCAATAGGACAAATAATTCATTAGCATAGGCAAGTTGACAAAAAAAGTCATCATAGCTACGATATTATTAAGTACGTGTGTGTGTGTGTGTGTGTGTGTGTGTGTGTGTGTTTAGTAGGCGTTACGCTTCAAAATGAAAATTTCTACCTGGCTTTACTTAATCAACTGAAATTTCACACATAATCACATGCGATTTTCCTGGCCATCTGGGATAGCTAGAAGATCGGCTAACTGTGCGGCAATTCCAATCTCTGGGTAATCATGGGACTGACACACCTTCTCCTTCTCATTGTGACTGGCCAGCCTTCCATATGCCAAATGAGTGTGGACCATGTTGTGGACACTGTGACTATAACCCTGCATGGCCTCTGTTCTTGGAAACTTTCAAGTGGAGGACTGTTTTAGCAAGTGACTCAGACAACAGTTCCATTCTTGACTTCCTGTGAGTGGTCGTGACAGTCCCACTGTGACTTCCTGTGAGTGGTGGTGACAGTCCCACTGTGATTTCCTGTGAGTGATGTTGACGGTCCTACTGTGATTTTTCCAAGGCTTTGCTACATTTGTTTGCCTCTGTCCTGTGCATGAACCTGAGACTTGAGGTTCAAGCACAGAATCAAGGAGAATTTGTTCTTTAAAAAAAGAAGACTCATTTTCATGTGTATAGATATGCATCAATGTCTGTGCACCGCATGTGTGACTGCTTGGATGCCCTGGAACTGAAGTTACAGATGGGTGTGAGCTGCCATATGGCTGCTGGGAATGAAACCTGGATCCTCTGGAAGAGCAGCCAGTATGCTTTCACTAAGCTATCTCTCAGTCTAGAGCACTTTTTCTTAGCTTTGGGATTTTCTTCTCTCTTTAACCCTCAAGTAGCCCTTCATCTGGACAGAGACTTTTGTTGTTGTCTTTTGTTTTCATGGACTAATGTTTAGCTGGCTACATCATAGCCACAAGAGTGTCCACCAAACAGAGCTCTGCTTTTGGAGCAAGAATCTCCTCCTCACTAGAAGAGTCAACGGTGTCGTATTTCCCAGCCAGGGAAAGCTGCTTCTCTGCATTTGGGTGGCTTTTTTATGATCTGCTTTTTAAGAATTCATTCATACATATGGGTGTGTATTACATATGTTCCTGGTACCTACAGATGCAAAAAGGGTACATTGGACCTTCTGGAACTGTAATTACAGATAGTTTGTGAGCTATGTGGCTGCTGGGAACTGAACTTAGATCTTCTGGAAGAGCAGCCATGTCTTTTAGTCACTGAGCCATCTCTCCAGCCCCTCCTAATCCACTCCTAATTTAAGCATTATAACATAGTCTCTTTCTATATGTTGTACAGAGGTTTTGCACTGAACAGGAGCTTTGGACAATAGTTGGCTCCTGGGGTGTGGTGGTCCTGGACTCTGCCTGGCTTCTTAATTGACTCTTTGGCACTTCCTAGTCATTTCACTCCAGGAAAGCACCACTCTTCCCGTTTAAGGATCTCAGTCTGTGAAGACATTGGTAGCAATCTCATCTTTGTTCCCTGGCATCATTTTCAAAAGATAAAATATAATGGGCCTCAGGCACTAGTAACTTGTTAATAATCATAATGGTTATTTCTGTTTACATTTTCATAAAGCTGAACACTGCAGACTAAGATTATCAGAATAAAAAAACCAAAATTTAAAATACTTTCAGGTTTTGACACTATAGCTACCTGGAACCTAATTGTTGAAAGAAAGATAAAAATGTAGCAATATTTTAGTAAGAAAAATACGCTATTGATGTTTTTATCTGTGACACACCGTCTGCACCTGAGCCTACCACTGCCTCAACTGCTGACTAGGAATCTGCAGCCACTGTCACCTCACTGCTGAGGCCACTGCCCCAGGGGAGCCTTCCTGTCCCACACTGCTACCCAAGCCACCTCCACATAAGGAGGGATTTTTTTTTTTACTAAGTCTCCCTCTTTTTATTTTACCAATGAAGTCTCAAGAGTCAGACACTAGGGTGACAATCTGCTAGCTCAGAGAGGCAGAAAAAGAAGCTGGCTAACTTTTCTCCTCTGGCATGTTTCAGAAAGAGGGCTTTCTTCAACACCATTTGAAACAAATTCCTCCAACTGGATGTCTCTTTCTTCTACTCCCCCCCCCCCTCGCCCATCAACTTCCTTTTACTCTCTATGGTTCCT